CTGGGACAGGCTGCCCAGAGAGGCTGTGGAGTCTCCTTCTCTGGAGACTTTCCAGACCTGTCTGGATGCCTTTCTGAGTGACCTGCCCTAGTGGTTTTTTTTTGGTCCTGCTCTGGCAGAGGGGTTGGACTGGGTGATCTTTGGAGGTCCCTTACAACCCCAACCATTCTGTGATTCTGTGATAGATTTTTTCTTTAGTGTTGACTTCATTTTGATAGACACCTTTGTATTAGTGTTGGATCCTGGCAGCCCAGGACAAAAGGCACTGTGTGCATTAGCAGGAGAGGGTGCAGGGATGGGCACTGGTCAAAAGGAGACATAGAACATCTGAGTGTTTAGGAGGAAAAGGAGTCTGACAGTTGGGAATACAGGGGCTGGCTGCCTTCTGAGGAGGTGACTCAATGAAAAACACAAAGATAAGAGTCTGGAGTGTAGTTTTCTGGCAAGCATTGGTTCAACTCCAGTCTGTGATGGCAGAATGCAGGGAATTGTCAGCTGGCTTAGGACACAGGCTGTGGAAAGCTTTCATGTAAGCTTTCGTGGGCTGCTTCTCAGGTTGGTTTTCTAGGTTGAACTAATTTGGGATCTTCTTGTGTATTGCTAAGTTTTAAACACTTCAGCTGTGTTACAAAATAATTGTCTAGGAGAGCAGGTAATTCTCTCTGGAGGAGAGATACAGATGGACAGTGTGGTGAGCACCTGCATTCAGTGCAGGGATTGAAGGTGTAGGATTTGGGGAGCAAGGAGTTGGTAACAAGATTTTGGGAGGGTAGGTTAGGCAAATGATTTGCTTAGGGTACTAAATGCCATGCTCCCCACACCTTCTGTCAGCCTGCAGAATTTGGGAAAATGTTTGGAACAGTCTGGTCTTCTGTAGTTGATGTAGAAATGCCTGAGTTAGCTCTTTAAGTACAGAATATTAATACAAATCAAATATACTGTGTTATACAACTATGGAATTGTGATGAGGGGAACCTATTTTCAGCTTTTCAGAGGTGTAATGCCAAGACTGATGCTTCCATCTGACTTGATAGAGTGAGAATCCTGTGGAATTGTCAGAACCTTGTAAGAAGAAAAGATTTCTTCCCTATTTCCTACTCAGACTTGAATGTGACACTTGGAAACTTGAATTAGAAAGTGTCTGCCCTAAATAACTTGAATTTAGGCTTGCCCTCTCTTCCTGCAGGTATATAATTTTGCTCAGGGCATGGATATTTAGAAGAATATTGTCATTCTTGAGCATCCACAACTTCCCTGGGCAAGCTGTTCCAGTGTCTCACCACCCTCACAGTGAAGAATTTCCTCCTCATGTCTCACCTAAATCTCCCCTCTTCCAGTTTTAATCCATTACCCCTTGTCCTCTCACTACATACCCTTGTGAAAAGTCCCTCCCCAGCTTTTTTGGAGCCCCTTCAAGGACAGGAAGATGCTCTAAGGTCGCCCTGGAGCCTTCTGTTCTGCCGGCTGAATAACCCCAACACTCCTAGCCTCTCTTCATAGCAGAGATGCTCCAGCTCAATGAGCATCTTTGTGGCCTCTGCTAGACTTGCTCCAAGAGCTCCATGTCCTTCTGCCCCATCCCTAAAAGCGTTTGAGGGCAGGTTGGATGGGGCTTGGAGCAACCTGGTCTGGTGGGAGGTGTCCCTGCCCATGCAGGGGGGTTGGAACTGGATGATCTTAAAGATCCCTTCCAACCCAAACAGTTCTATGATTATTAGCACTTGTCTCCATTGGGGTCCTTATTCTGCCCCTGCTTAGTAGTCTTAAGAGATCTGACTGGAATGTGTTGACCCTGGGCTCTGTGCTTGAGCACGTGCCTGGTCTTGGTACCCACATCAGGAGCTAGGGCAGTGTCCATGCCTGTGGCTGGAGGATCATCCCTCCCAGGATACATGCATGGTGCCCTCTCACAAGAGGGAGACTGGACTCCCTTTGCAGGGTATGGCTTGGGCCCCTGGAAGTCCAGATGAAATGTCATTGTCCCATCCTTTTGTTTTCTCTAAATAAGCACTGGTGAATTGGAGGGTAACAGAGCACTGGGACAGGCTGCCCAGGGATGTTGTGGAGTCCTGTTCTCTGGAGATATCCAAAACCCACCTGGATGCAGCCCTGTGGGATGTGCTCAAGGTGATCCTGCTTTAGTGGGGAGTTGGACTTAGATGATCTCGAGAGGTCCCTTCCTTCCCTCGTTTTGGTCTGGCCAGTAAAAAGCAGTTTTAAATGTGTGCATTGGGTTTGGTTATTTTCTTTGCAGTTGAACTTCAATTTAAATATTGCACAATTCTGCAGGGCTTTGCTCTTCAGAATCTCTGACTTGGCTTAGTTTGAATCTCCCTACAGCTGCCTGAGCAGGGAGTATCTTCCATGGAGCATGTCCAGAGCAATAACCTGTAGCCTGTAGTTAAAAGGCAGGACCTAAGCCTGGATTGGGTGGATATTCAAGTGTCAGCTCAGTAAAATAAAGAAGTTGGAATGCTTCATTAAAGTTCTGAGCAAATTTGCCTGGAAAAAATCATGGGGTGTAGCTCTGTGCCATGTGATGTGATTTTAGGATGCAATTGTAACTGGTCCAGGAGCTCCCTTCTTATTTTAGCATCCAGTCTATTTTTCTTAATTGGTTTTCTTCCTTTTAGGACACCACCTTCTGGCTCCTACTAACCATCTTTGTGAAAGGAGGATGAGCTCTTTCACCTT